TCCTAGCCCACTCCAGTGCCTCCCAGTATATTGTACTATCCCTCCCAGTGCCTCCCAGCTTACCCCAGTGACCCCCAGTATGTTCTACTATCCCTCCCAGCCCACCCCAGTGCCCCCCAGTATGCTCTACTATCCCTCCCAGTGCCTCCTACTGCCTTCCAGTGCTGCCCAGTTTGTCCCCCAGAGCTTCTCAGCGCACCTAAATGCTTCACTCTGAGTCCTACTGCCTCCTCCCAGTGCATCCCACTGCCTCTCAGCCCAACCCAGTACATCCTACTGCTCCCAGTGCCTGGTCCCTGCTCCGTGGCTATCACCACACTGCCCGGGGGTGCCAGGGCAGCTCCTGCCATCCTCCCCAGCCCTCTGTGTCCCCTTCAGGCCGATGACTTCGTGCGGGCGAACGCGTGCAGCAAGCTGACGGTGATCGCGGAGCAGATCCGCCACCTGCAGGAGCAGGCGCGGAAGGTGAGTGCGCTGTGTCCTGCACGGGGCTCCCTGTCCTGCCTGCCCTGGCTGCCAGGACACTCCTGGGGCCTGGAGTGGGTCTGGGGTCTGGCTGAGAGCCGTGGGCAGGAGCTGAGCAGGGATGAGTCAGTAGGTTTGATGTCTGGTGGTAGTGTTGGTTTCAGTGCTTTCCCCAAGTTCTGGGCACATCAGGGAGGACTTTGGATAAAGTGGAAGAGTAAGGATGGGTGGTCCAAAGCACTCTGGTGTCAGGAAGGACCAAGGAATGACTGTTTTGGGATAGGTGACTCTCCAAAGCATTCGGGTGTCAGGAACCTCTGGGGGATCATGGAATTTTAGGGGTTGGAATGGAGCTTAGACATCATCCAGCCCCAAACCCCCTGCCCTGGGCAGGGACACCTCCCACCAGAGCAGGTTGCTCAAGGTCTCACCCAGTCTGGCAGAGGCATGACTCTGTTTTGGGACAGATGACTCTCCAAAGCACTCAGGTGTCAGGAAGGACTGGAACATTATAGAGTCATAGAATTTTAGGGGTTGGAATGGACCTTACAGATCATTTAGTCCCAACCCCCTGCCCTGGACAGGGACACCTCCCCACTAGACCAGGTTGCTCAAGGCCTCATCCAGCCTGGCAGAGGGATGAGTCTCTTTTGGTACAGGTGATTCTCCAAAACACTTGGGGGTCAGGAAGGACTAGGGTATAACTCTCTTTTGGGACAGGTGACTCTCTAAAGCACTCAGGTGTCAGGAAGGACTGGGGGATGACTGGTTTGGCTCCCAGGGGTGGGGTGACAATGTGGCCCTGGCTGGGTCTGAGCCCCTGGGAGAGATGAGCTCTTGCCCCATGACAGGCTCAGCTCTTCCCTTGATCCCAACTCATTTGCTGGACTGCATGGCCCCAGCAGAACCCAGCAGGGCTCAGCTGTGCTCTGCAATTCAGCCTTCACCCTTAGGGGTGAAATCTGGAGCCAGAGTGGGAAAGGTTCTGCCAGTCACTGCAACTGGCCAACTGCCACTGAGGCCATTACGTCATGTAATCATTAACTGGTGGAGCTGGGGCCCTGGAGCAGGCAGCTGGTGGAGCTGGGGAGATGAATTCGCCTTTGTTTGCTGTCCCTTCCCTTGGGGACTGCAGCAGGAAGCCCCCAGGGTCTGGCAGCTCTCTGTGGAAATGAGGAACAAGCCCAGCACGTGGTGGGGTCAGGCACAGAGGTGAACCTGGGGTGAGGTGCAGAGGTCCTTGATGCTTGGAGGTATCTCCACCTCTGTGGAGAGGTGCTCCAAGGTCCAGCTGACAGGGAAAACTTGGGAAAAAACCTCTCTCTTTGGAAAGCATTTCCTTCCCAGGGCAAGTAAAGTTGTGTAAAGTAAGACCTGTGACAGAGAGGACAAGGCCGCTTGAGCCATGTGTCAAGTGACGTGTCTTGGGCTCTTGCTGAGAGGCAATAGCACATTGTCATTTTATTTCAAGTGTAGACATTGTAAATTTGTGTTTTCTAGGTCTTGGATGAAGCTAACAGAGATGCTGATCTGAATCATGTGGCCTGCAACCTTGTGAAGAAGCCAGGAAACATTTACTACATGTACAGGAGGGAGAGTGGGCAGCGATACTTCTCCATGCTGTCTCCTAAGGTGGGTGTGGAAGCAGGGAGGGAAGAAAAGTCACATTTCTGGTGCTTGGAAACATGTGGATCTCAGACAAAAGCACCAGCTTGATGAGGACATTTGTTGGCCCCTGCTCAGCTGGTGTTTGCCCTTGGTCTGGGTTAGTCTGATGGGACCAGAGTCATCTTATGCAATTCTCTTGGCCCTTGGTGGGTGATGGCAAGAAGCCCTTTGGGTCCTGGACCTGAATTCTGCCCTTCAGTCCCTGCAGTTCTTTCTCTAGAAGTAAAGAACTGCCAATATGCCCTGAACCTTCCCTGGCAGGATGGTCTCAGGTGCTTCAGCCCAGGGAATGAGTTCACCTGCAGCCTGGGGGGTGGTCTTGGAGGTCTCCTCCTTCTTAAATGCAGAGTGAAGGCTTCAATGCAAAGCATGGAGTGTGTAAGCTCTGAGCAGGATCAGGGAGATCTCATGTCCCCAAGTCTCCCTGTGGCATCAGCACTGGGGCTTGACCTGATCTTGGACTTGGGGTAGCTGAGCCTGTTTTTGGAGTTGGAAGTTGGATGGTTTCATGTCTGGGGCAGCTTTGAAGGTGGTGGGGCTGAAGACACAGCACAGCCCCCAAGGGAAACTGAGGACTGATGGAATCTCTCCTCTCTCCTCCAGGAATGGGGAACAGCTCCCCACGAGTTTCTTGGTGCCTATAAGCTGCAGCACGACATGTCCTGGACTCCCTTTGAGGACATTGAGAGACGAGATGCTGAAATAGCCATCCTGGAGAAGCTGCTGAGTCGACAGGCAGCACTACCTCCCTGCACAGAGCCCAACTTCCAGGGCCTGACCAAGTCCCAGGAGTGACTCCTGTCCCTGGGTGAGGGGACACAGTGCCTGTGTGCTGCTAAGGGCAGGGCAAGGAAAGAGACCAAGAGACAAAAGTGCTGATGTCAGTACTTGCTCTGTGCTTTAAGGAGACTAATTCTACTGGATTTTCTAGTAATTGAGTAATTTATTTTGCTGGCTGTAGCAAGAGGCAGGTGGAGTGAGTTCCAAGAGGCAAAAAGCAGAAATGCTTGGGGCAGGTGTGATAGTGCTCTAAAATAGTTTGTCCTACCTGCTTGGCTCTGGTGTACCACTGAGAACCTGCAGCAGGTAATGATCTCCTCGTTAAAATGCCTCTGGGGCTTGGAAAGAGTAGTCAAAACCCTGTGCAAGGGTCTGTTCTGACCAGAGTGTCTGTCCCAGCTGGTCCTGGACTCCTGAGTCAGGAACATGGGGTGACCTGGAGCTCTCTTGTTTGGGAAGAGCATCCTCAAAAGTGCTGTGAAGGCTTCAGATGCTCTCCATAGGCCTTGGGATTTTGCTCATGAGCTGCAAGGTAGAGACAGGACATTGGATACCTTTGTGCCAGAGCAGTGGGGAAAATGAAATAAATCAGTCTTGATCTGAGCCTCTGAGCAAGGCCCTGTGTTCTTTCTGCATGACAAGTATCTCTTTGGCTTTACCAGGGAGACTTGGTGGCACCTGGAGCTTGTAGGACACCTCCAGCCTCTTTTTCCACCAATGTGCCTCTGAGCGAGGCCCTGTGTTCTTTCTGCATGACAAGTATCCCTTTGGCTTTACCAGGGAGACTTGGTGGCACCTGGAGCTTGTAGGACACCTCCAGCCTCTTTTTCCACCAGGAACTGGGGAGAAGTAAAGATCAGAGCTTCCGGGAGTTGTCCTTCCTCTGCACAGCCACACAGGGCTCCTCCAGGAGCTTGTGAGCTCCTCTGTGAGGAGCCAAGGTTGGAATTCATTGGCAGAGATGTCCAGGTTGGATCCTGGCATGTAACATCACATCTGGATGGATCCTCCCATGACTTATTCACCTCTCTGAGATGGCAACATGACCTGATGTGCTGCTCCAGGCATTGAATATGCACAGTGGCTTTAGCCACCTCCTCTGCAGGCAGTGTGGGAGGGTTGGGGATTGCTGTGGGAGCTAAACTCTGACCCTGGAGTTGGGGCCCACCACAAGTGGAGGTGATGCTGCTCAGTGGAGACCAACCACAAGGTCCTTGGGGACCAGCACCATCCCTGTGCTGCAGTTCATTCCCCCTTTGCAGGGCACATCCTCTCCTCCAGTTTCTCCTGTCCCTCTGTCCTCATCCCTGCACCCTGGGAGATGCTTGAGGCTGCTGGTAGTGATGATTCCCCATGGGAAGAGCTGTTCCCACCAAGGATCACAGAGGAATGATTTGAGGCAGCTCCTTGGCAGCCCAGGATGTTTTTAACCCAAATTTTCTTCCCCACCTCTGCCTGGTGCAGTCTCACTCACATCCCAGTGAGGCTGAGCCTCTGGTTGGCAGACACCTGCTCCTGGGAGTCAATGTGGGACATTTTACCTCACTTGGAGCACAAGGGCAGATTAACAGCAATTTATTATTACTGTTGTTATTATTATTATCAGACCAGGGTGTAATTAATTCCTTGTCAAGTCACAAGTGTCTCATTTGATGGGCTTTTACCCTGCCTGTTTTGTTGCTCCAGGTCTTACTTTACTGCGTGTTATTAAATCTTAACTTGGAAGGGAGAAAGTTAATTACTGCATGGGCTTTGCCTGGTGCTAATTACAGCAACACCATGTGTTGATTTATGCTCCTCTGGGATGTGGGGATTCCTGCCCCAGTTTGATCTCTGTTTCCCATCATTACTACCTGTACCATGACACACACAAGGGGGTCAGGGGGTGGTCATGGACCTCTGTAGCCTCTGGTGGGATTCCTCTTGTGCTTTCAGCCCAGACAGCCAAGCTGTCCTGCAGGAGATGGAAGGTGTCCCATGGTGGTCCCACAGGGGGTGCAGGGTCTGCGTGGGGTCCCACAGGGAGGTGTGGGTGGTCCTGCAGGGGATGCAGGGTGTCCCTCAGGTGTCAATCAAGGGATGCAGAGGGTCCTGTGGGAGGTGCAGGGTGTCCCACAGGGAATGTAGGGTGGTCCCACAGGTGTCTCTCAAGGGATGCTGGTTGGTCCTGCAGGTGTCCCACAGGTGGTCCCAAAGGTGCCCTGCAAGTGTCCTTCAGGGGGTGCAGGGTGTCCCATAGGGGATGCAGGTGTCCCTCAGGAGGTGCAGGGTGTCCCGCAGGGGATGCAGATTGGTCCTGCAGGTGTCTCTCAGAGGATGAAGGTTGGTCTCGCAGGGGATGGATGCAGTTTGTTCCCGCAGAGGATGCAGGGGGGATGGATTTGTTCCCGCAGAGGATGCAGGTTGTTCCCGCAGGGGATGCAGGGTGGTCCCACAGGGGATGCAGTTTGTTCCCGCAGGGGATGCAGGTTGGTCCCACAGGGGACGGATGCAGTTTGTTCCCGCAGAGGATGTTCCCGCAGGGGATGCAGGGTGGTCCCACAGGGGATGCAGTTTGTTCCCGCAGGGGATGCAGGTTGGTCCCACAGGGGACGGATGCAGTTTGTTCCCGCAGAGGATGCAGGTTGGTCCCGCAGGGGATGGATGCAGTTTGTTCCCGCAGGGGATGCAGTTTGTCCCCGCGGGGGATGCAGGTTGTCCCCGCAGGGGATGCAGGGTGGTCCCTCAGGAGATGCAGTTTGTCCCCGCAGGGGATGCAGTTTGTCCCCGCGGGGGATGCAGGTTGTCCCCGCCGGGGATGCAGGGTGGTCGCTCC